TACTGGCCATGGCCAGGATGGGGCTGCAGCCAGTCATTTCGGTTAGAAGGGAAGGGTTAGGAGCTGGTCTTGAAGCTACATTTGCAAACACAGTGCTCTGGGTTGTGTGTTTATTTGGGATGGCTTTGAGAGAAGTTAATGAAGATTGGAAAGGCTAACAAACCCTCTAGCCACGCCTTGCTGTCTACCATGCCCAATATACACTCTATCAAAGCAGGAACCCATTTATTAACTACTATAGCCTAGGCCCAGCTCTGGATTTTGCATAAAATGGTCCCTCAAGAAGTATTTATTGTGTAAACCAGTGGTGGTGAGGGGGGAATCTCTAAAACTTTGGGGTATTTTTGGTCAAGCTGCATTTCATATCTGCCTTTGGTGTATAGCATTGATGGGGAGTGCCAACCTCCAGGGGCTTCATTTGACTTTGGGCTAATTGATGAATCCTGAAGACCTAAGGGGATACATGTGGACCTTGTTTAGGAAATTAAGGGGGCTAGTGGAGCAAACCTCAGACCTTGGGGGAAGCTGGCCCTTAGAATGAGGCAAGGCTGGAAGGTCTGTGGGGAAGCAGACAGAGCAGTATCTCAGGTTCTAGTTTTAGAACTATGTAGCAGGGGCTCTGGTAGCACAGTGCCTAAGGCATTTGACTGCAAACCAGAAGGTTGGCGGTTCAAACCTACCAGTCACTCCTCGGAAGGAAGATGGAGCAATCTACTTCCGTAGTGATACGGAAACCCAGGGAGGGGTCGCTATGAGTCGGGTCCAACTCCAAGGCACACAACAACAGCAGGGGCTGAGACCAGTACATTCTGGTAATCATAGAAAAATTTTGTGTTGTGGAGTTAATGGGCTCAGAAAGTTGTAGAAGGTCACAACTGAAAGGGACCTCAAAGATGATCATTCTCAATTTACTGAGCAACAGCCACCTCAGATGCTTCCAACCCCAACTCCCTGCAGTGCTGTTGTTGTATGCCACAAATTCTGATTCATAGTGACCCTACAGGACAGAATAGAACTGCCCCACAGGTTTTCCAAGGCTATAATCTTTATGGGAACAGATCACCAGGTCTTTTCTCCTGTGGAGTCACTGCTGGGTTTGAACCACTGACCTTTTAGTTAGCTGCCAGGTTCTTAATTATTGCACCACCAGGGTTCCTTCCCTGCAGTGGTAAGTGTGACTATGTCTCTAGTGGTGTGTGTGAGAGAGCTCTGCAGAGCAAGGCCAGCTTTTCTTTTTGTTGCTCTATTTCATGTTGCCCAGCCCAGAATCCACCTCTGAATTCTGAGGAGAGAAAAAGACAGAGACTGACCTGGAGCTCCCTAGGCTCATAGGAAGAGGAAAGAACCTTAGGTTAGGAAGATACCTACATCCCAGAAACAGGAAAAAGGACAAGGAGGAGGGAGAAGTGGTTTATCTGACTCCATCTTACAAATAGACATGCTGTATATTGTACTTCACGTAAGGGAAACTTTTGTAAGGATAAATGTATTTGTTCATAATTTTAATTTAATGATATAATATGTATGTGTAAATATATAACCCATTGCTGATGAGTGGATTCTGACTCATAGAGACACTGTGGGACAGAGTAGAACTGCCCTCTGGGGTTTCCAATGCTGTAACCTTTACAGAAGCAAACTGCCACATCTTTCTCCCTTGGAGCAGCTAGTGGGTTTGAACCATTAACCTTTTGGTTAGTAGTCAAGTACTTAACTATACTGAGCCCAGGGCTCCTGTATAAATATATAGTAAATAGTAAAGAATATATAGTAAAAGTAAATAATAAATAGTAAAAAAAAACTTTTAAAGTGATGCTTCATCTTAACTCATTTAAAGCTACCTTTAAAATGGTATCCATTTCACCAAAATTTGTTGCAGATTATAATTAGATAATTTAGAGGGAGAACTAATCTGGTGAGCTGGTGTTTAAACAGTAAATATGTATAGAAGGGAATTTAATTTATCTTATAATTTTTATTATCATGTTTGAAACATCTGAAAAAATATCAAATTAAATGTGTGTCCTTTATTTTAACTTTCAGGATTCTTGTTCTTTATTCACCTAATGGTTGGAAGTGTTTCAAAAATATAAACCTGGAAGATTAAGGTTTTTCATTTCTCTGTAATAACAAATGTTCTTTGTAATTTTAAAGCTCAAGCATCCATCTCTGTTAGTGTTTGTATTAGGCTATACGAGTCTGCAATTTATAACTGAGATTCTGAAAGCAAACTGTAGAGTGATATGTTGGTAAGCAGATCTCTTGCCAAATTAAACAACAGTATTCCTTATACTATTATGATCATCTATACTAGTCACTCATAAAACCAAAACTAAACCAAACTCATTACCATCGAGTTTCTGAGGTTATAAATCTTTATAGAAACAGATTGCCTCCAAACTCACTGCCACTGAGTCAATTCAGACTCATAGTGACCCCCATTAGGTTTCCAAGGTTATAAAACTTTATGGAAGTAGATTGCCCATCTTTCTTCCATGGTGCAGCTGGTGAGTTTGAACCACTGACCTTCTGCTTAGAAGCCAAATGCCTTATCCACTGTGCCACAAGAGCTCTTATAGACATCTCATTTTCAATAATAATAAAGAAAATAAAAATATAATTTTATGAAAAATATTAAATACAACCAATTGCGTAAGGTGTTTGACTGCTAACCAGAAGGTTGGTGGTTCAAACCCACCAGCCACTCCATGGAAGGAAAACTGAGCAATCTACTTCTGTAAAGATTTACTACCTCAGACACCCAAAGGGAGTTGCTATCTATGAGTCAGAATCGAATTGATGGCAGTGAGTTTGGTTTTGGGTTTTTTGTATTATGAAATCATACCAGTTGAGGGTTTTTACAGACATACCTTGGAGGTATTGTGGGTTTGGGTCCAGACCACTGCAATAAAGCAAATACTGCAATAAAGTGAGTCACATGATTTTTTTGGTTTCCTAGTGCTTATAAAAGTTATGTTTATACTGTACTATAGTCTATTAAATGTGCAATAGCATTATGAAAAAGTTTGAAATATTGTGAGAATTACCAAAATGTGATACAGAAACAGGAAATGAGCACATGCTGTTGGAAAAACAATACTGATAGACTTGCTTGATTCAGGGTTGCCACAGACCTTTAATTTGTAAAAAATGCAGTCCCTGCAAAGTGCGATAAAATTAGGTATACTTGTATACAATATAATGAATACTGTATTTTAGATTGCAAATCATAGCTGTCTTTTATACAAATCAGCAGAAATAGGCACAGGTTAACATTGTCTCTACATAAGCATTTTCACCCTCTAATGTTTTTCAAAGGAGCTCTGGTAGCATAGTGGCTAAAGCACTTGACTGCTAACCAGAAGACTGGTGGTTCAAACCCACCAGCCACTCCTCGGAAGGAAGGTTGGGCAATCCTACTTCCATAGTGATACTGCCTCGGAAACCCAAGGAGGGGTCGCTATGAGTCGGGGCCGACTCGACGGCACACAACAACAACAATGTTTTTCAAATTAGAATTGAGACAGGAGGGAGCCTATTTAGATTGCCCAGATACTAATTAATTTTGCCCCTTGAGTATGTTAGAAAAAGGGAGGTAGACGTAATGAGAACTGTAAAGCATAGTCATGGACCAGATCCCAGACTACTGAAATAACTCATTTCCTGTTTAGAGTTCTATCAACAGTTGAAAACAAAAGAGAGGAGGGGATTACTGGTAAATAAATGTATAGCAAAGAAGCAATGTCAAGCCTGACAACATCATCTATAATACATTTCCAATTATGTTAGTACTGAAACTTCTGTAACAATATTTTTCATCCCTGCTGCTCTAACAGAAAATGCCACAAATGGGTGGCTTTTAACAAACAGGAGTTTATTCCCTTACAGTTTAGGAGGCTAGAAGTCTGAGTTCAAAGTGCCAGGCTCTAGGGTCTGGGTGAAGGCCCCTCCACCTGGCCCTTCAGCTCTGCCCCTTGCTCCCGCCCGGCCCACTGAAGCTGGAGGCTTTCTTCACTCAGGCAGGTGTTGGCTGCTGAGGCTGGCAAACCTAGTCAACAAGTAAAAAGGCATAGTCCCAGTGTTACCAAACCTCATGGCAGGCCACTGATTCAAGTCCATTAACAGTCCCAAGATTGGCACATAACATGGCAGGCTGCTGAACGATGACTCAGCTACATGCAGGGTTCAAGCGTGCCAAAAGCTGCAGAGCATTCCCAAAGCTCCTCCTTATATACTGGAAGCAGACCACATCCCAAAAGCAGCTACTCATCTGCTTGCGGCAGATTCCACGGTGGAGTTGATTGCCGGTCTCATCCTGGGGAATAACTACAACCAGCTGCCCAGCCACTCAAAACCAGGGCCAGCCAAATTGACACACAACCTTAACTACCACAATCCCCTACTAATTTCATCCCCTCTCTATGTTGTTCGTCTCTTCTCGTTTTTGGAAATCTCCTTGAATAGAAAAAATCATCTGTCTGTTGTCACTTAGCCAAGAGGATATTTGTTTTTAACTTGGTTTCACTAATGGTAATGTTTGGAAGGAAAGTAAAATCTCTAGAAAGGGCAAGTTAGCTCTTGTGGCTTAGACCTTTGGAGTTTTATTTGATCAGATCTTAGTTTTTCCCTTTGGCCATCTGGTGTTTTCATTTTTACTTCAACTTCTAATTAGCTTTTGTTGATTCTGAAACTCATCCTACTTCCTGGTCTCTAAAGCTCCAATAATATGAGAAAATTAAAAACACTTAAAAATGTTCAGAACTGTTGCTTGGTAAAGAGAATTGAGTCACAATGTTATATCTGAAGTAGAAAACTCTCCAAGGTGCCTCCTAGGGATTCTAAAAGCATTAGGACCATGTAGGCCCAGAGTGTGCTTTTTTTTTAACATTTAGCTCAGTGTGCTTTTCCTTATTCTTATTCTGTCTTTTTATGCAGCTGGAATGCTTTCTGACTCCTCTGCAAACTTCTAAGGCCAAGACCCCAAGGAACCCAGCTGGAGAATGCCGTCTGAACGCTGTCTCAGGTATATATTCTTTAGGATGCGTCCTTGCTTGGTGTTGAGAGGTCTGGAATAGTCATACTGCACATTCCTGCACCAAGGGTGGAACATAGCAGAGGCTTAACAAATATTTGAATAAATTAAACAAACCAGTGAGGGCTTTTGTGAATTTAGTATAGTAGCACAAAAGCTAATTTCTGTGACCTAGTTACTGGTCACCTAGATACATTTCATGTTTCTTTGGATGACACTACTATTTTATCCTATTCTTATTTAGGATGCCACTCTCCCTATAACAAAAGGTACACTACTATGAAGGTATATCATTTTAAAATGCATCAGAAAGCCATTCAATATATATGGATATTATCCTCCTTAATGCAATCACTTATTATCAAAACATTTTCTTTTAATGCTTTACTTATTTCACAAAACGTATTAAGCCAAGCACTCAGCTTGTTGCTGGGGCTACAGCAATGAATAAAGTAGATAAGGTCACAAAACCAAACCAACCTCACTTCCATCAAGTCAATTCCGACTCATAGCGACCCTCATTGGGTTTCAAAGGTTATAAATCTTTACGGAGGCAGACTGCCTCCTCTTTTGTCTGCAAAGCAGCTGGAGGCTTCGAACCACCGATCTATTGGTTAGCAGCCAAATGCCTTAACTACTACTCCACCAAAGATCCTTAGATAACGTCCAGGCCCTCATAAAATGCATATTCTATATGGGAAATGGATACTAAACAATTAATCACACCAGTAACAATGCAGATATAATTGTGAAAAGCGTTTTGAAGAAAAAGCACAGATTAGATACAGTGAGGAAGGGCATTCCTGAGGAATTGGTCTGTGCCCTGAGATCTGAGGAAGAGAGTGACTTAGTAAATACCATGAGGCAAGGAGGAGCTTGGCATATTCCAAAAACTGAGAGGCAGTCAGTGAGAAAGTACAGGGCCTTCATTTGCATATCCTTAGTGGAGGCAAGTCTTCGTCATCTCTGAGGGTGGATTGTTTTTTGTCAGAAGACATTCATAGCCAAGATTAAGAGAGGTGATAAACCTAGGAATACTCTTTTTTTTAAAAAAAAAAGTCTAAGAATTTATATTGCTATGATGATGAACAGGTTTCAGCAGAGCTTCCAGACTAAGATTACCTGGAAGAATAGGAAAAACGCCTGGTGATCTGCTTCTGAAAATCAGCCAGTGAAAACCCTATGGATCCAATGATCCAATCCCATTGTGCATGGGGTTGCCATGAGTCGGCGGCCAACTTGATGGCAGCTAACAACAACAATTAAATACTGAGTCTGACTTTCTGCTATGGTTCTGAAGGCTGTCAGTGGTAACTAGTTCCTAAATGTGTTCAGGAATGAGGGTATTTCTACTACAAGTGTAACATCTTTGCACTCCTTGTGTGAATCTGTGGCTGTAGTCTAGTGGTTCTCAATGGGGGAAGATTTTAACCCTTAGGGGGCACTAGGCAATGTCTAGAGACACTCTTGGTTGCTACTGAGAAGGGATGGTAGTGGTGACAGGTGATCTTGGCATCCAGTGGTAAAGGCCAGGGCCAAAGATCCTGTTAAACATCCTACAATGCACAGGATAACCCCCAACAAAGAATGATATATGGCCCCAAATGTATATAGTGCTAAGGCAGAGACATCTTGTTCAAGATCTGTCATCCAGCTAGTACAGCACATGGAGGCCGTTTAATCTGGCTTATCACCACCTGAGTCAAGTGAAAAAAAATTCCTGACTATCAGGATCAATGTGCATTCACCTCAAAATGAGATTTTACTTAAAATCTACCATTCCTCTTTTTATCAGTCAACCCTTATCTCACCACTATATACCCTCCACAGCACTATTACCTCTGTAATGGTATTTCCTTCTCTACTGTATCTCAGGCCTCACTCTTTCCCACCTCCCAAACCCTTTTACTAGGCCCTGTGTAACAAGCATCCTGACCTATGCTCCTCTGTATCATCCCCGTCACCTCTAAAAGCTGTGATCACCTTTCTGTTCTCCCCTGAGGCACCCCTTCTCTTGTAGCCCTCTCAAGTGATGGAATAATTATTTCTTCAGACCTCATGTATTTCAGAGATAAGTAAAGATGTTGTTGTCTTCCAGGCCATACTTTTATTTTTAGATCATTACACCTTGAAATGGTTGTTAGAGAAAGCAACACCAAAAACATGCTCTTCTGAAAAGTTATGCCCTTCAACTCTGTCACCTTCTCCTCCTCCCCATATTGTTTGTCAGGGTCATTTCCCCTCATTCACTGAGCACATTGGCACTTGGTTTATATCTCCCTTCTCATTGCAAACTCTTAAAAAAAACTGCCCAGGGCCCTCAGTATCCACATGGAGGATATGCCCAATGTCATGGCTCTAGGATCTTCAACCTCCTTCTCCAAAAACTTCCTTCTCCCTTCAGCCACCTCTGCCTATTGCCACACCTTGGACATCATTGTACCTGGTAGTTGCTCTATTTCTGAATCCATTAAATCAGTCACTTTACTTCTATCAGGACTTTTTCTCCTTCCAGTTTGTTGATTTACCTATCCTTGTTACTTTGATCTCTTTGCAGTGTCTAGTCTACTAACCCTGCTGCTTTCTACCAATCCATCAATCCTTTCCTTCCCCCATGCCCTTTCCATTCCACATTCTAATTTCTTCTAATTTAGATTCTATGGGTCATCATTTCAGTATTGCTCTTGCTAAATCCTAAATTTCTTTTGCTCCCTGTATTTTTGTGTCATTTTCCTGACAACACCCAAACCTAGATTAGCCTGACTATCTATATTTCTGTGCTTTCATTGTCCAGTGGAGACTGACTCCACTAAAATATTAGATTCAACAAATCAAAAACAGCCTAGAGTTTTAATATGTGTTTCTCTGTTTCCTTCCTCCTTCTCAAGGGGCAGTTGTCCTTTGTCAGAGTTAAACCCAACTCTGCTTTTGTGCTTTGAATCTCATCTTTCTTATCTTCTTAGAAACTTTCTTTGCTTGTATCTCATCTATGTTCTTGAGACATAGCTGTGCGTTTGTTATCCCTCTATGCCCCTGAATCACAGATTTGCATCTCTAGTCAAAATGTCTTTCTGAGCTCCATGGATCAACTACGTATTTCACATCTGCTCTTGGGTATTGTAAAGACAACTCATGCTCAGCATGTCCCAAACCAAACTCATCATCTTCCTATCCCGAAATCTTGTCCTCTATTCCAGGAATATGGGAGCTCTGGTAGCGTAGTTCCTAAGGCACTTGACTGCTAACCAGAAGGCTGGTGGTTCAAACCCACCAGCCACTCCTTGGAAGGAAGGTTGGGCAATCTACTTCCGTGGTGACAGTGCCTTGGAAACCCAAGGAGGGGTCGCTATGAGTCGGGTCCGACTCGATGGCACATAACAACAACAACAACAACAATTCCAGAAATATCAAGTTACATAAGCCAGAAAGATAAGAGTATTCCTGGGGACCTGCTACCACCCACTTCCATAGCTAATCCATTACCAAGGAAGGCCTATAGATTTTCCATCCTAAATAGTTTTCAAATTCTATTAATCTCTCTAAAATTCTACCCCCACATTCCAGTCTAAGGCCCAAGCCTATCATTTGGCTGAATTACAGCCACAGGTATGCCCCTCTCTGGCCCAGTCTCCCAGATTGCTCTTGGAACTGCAGCCAGAGTGAACTTTTCCTGTGGTTTACCATTGCTGTTGGTATGAACTAGCTTAGAAGTCCTTCATGAGTGGACTCCCAGCTTCTGCTTCTTAAGCCTCCTCTCTACTATGTTTTCTCCCTTGTTCTCAAGGTTCTAGACATTAATATTCCATAGGCACTGTGTATGGGCCATGTCCCCCGCTGCAGAACTGTAGTACTTTTTATTTTCTTGCCTGGAAAGCTCTTCTTTCCTCTTCTTACCGGGGTAGCTTGTTCTCATCCTTCAGTCCCCAACTTCTTCAGGGAGGCGAGATTATTTGATTAATTTGTAACTGTCCTGCTAGCTGAATATTCCATGTGGGCTGCTACCCAGTCATGTATGTTCCTCAGGTTATCCCTAGCACTTAGTTCAATACCTGATACAGACTGAATGAACACTTGTTGAGAAAAGAAAAAAAGGGAAGGGAGGGAGGAAGGAAAGAAAGAAGGAAGCTACTTGACTGTTTTTGATATGTAAATACATAATATCATTATTGATAGCTTCAGTTGAAAGCTGCTTGCATATTTTTTAGAAATTGACTTGAATTTTTTTAATTTAAAATGCAGATGTTTAAAATCATGCATCTGTTTAGGAATTTACATCCTAAAAACTGACTGAACTCAGCCAAAATGTATTCTATGAAAATGAGATCTTATGGGTTTTCTGTGATCAAAAAATGTTCACTCTCTAAGCTCAAAGTAGTGATTTGTGCTAAAGCAGTGCTTCACTGTAAGTGGAGCTTAGAGTGTTATGAACATCATGCTCTGCATTTGATATATTAGTTAGTTTGTATAATCAATTCCAGAAAGAAAGTTAAAGACTTGAGATCATAAATAGTTCTATTCTCTAAGACCTGATTTGTTTACCTCTCTTGACATACAAATGACACTGATACATGGCAATCAAATGACTGCTCCCTGGCATCAAGGAAAAGTATTTTGTCTACTCAGGAACTCTGGGGCTTCCTACTCTTGCATCAGAGGCAGAAGCTGGTCCCTGTGAGATGGAGGCTCAATGGGGCTCACCTGAAGCCCTTATAGAGTTCAAAGTGGAAAGAAATTGAGGGACACTTTTCTCTGGGGACTTGTAGACCAGAGCTGTTCAATAGAACTATAAATACAAACCATATATAGTGAGACCTGAGAGCCAGAATTCTACAGGACTGCCTTGTTTTTCTGAATCTCACAAGTTTTCTTTTGATCCCTAACGTGAGGTAAGACTACAGTCTTACCATTTTCCTATTGCTCGTTTTAGTGGAAAATATTTGCGTTTTCCTACTCTGACAGATTTCTGCCTTACATAGGTTTTACTGTATGTAATTTAGAATTTTCCAGTAGCTGCATTTTAAAAAAGTAAAAAGAAACAGGTGAAATTAATTTTAACATTTTATTCAACTCAATATTAACTTACAATTTCTACATATAAACAATATAAACATATTTTAAAAATATCTTGCATCTGTTTTTCGTACTACATCTTTGGAATCCAGTGTGCATTTCACACTTAACAGCACACCTCAACTTCATTAACCACATTTCAAGTGCTACATAACCACACATGGCTAGTGGTTACTCTATTGGATGGTACAATTCTAGGGAAATCCTTCAGAGAAGAGGGTATTGTGGTTACCTAGGGAAGCCAGGTCACTCTCTACATACCCCTGAATATGTTGAGGCAGCACCTTCAGCTCTAACTGAAAGGTTGGAGGTTCAAGTCCACATAGTGGTACCTTGGAAGAAAAGCCTGATGTTCTATTTCTGAAAACTCAGGCATTGAAAACCCTATGGAGCACAGTTCTACTCTGACAGACAGCTTTTTTTTTTTTTTTTAAATTTAAAGTTGCTTATACTGAAGACTTTTTCTGATTTTGGGAGCTCTGGTAGCATAGTGCCTAAGGCATGTGAGTGTTAACTGGAAGGCTGGTGGTTCAAAACCCACCAGCCACTCCTCAAAAGGAAGGTTGGTCAATCTACTTCCATAGTGATACTGCCCCGGAAACCCAAGGAGGGGTCTCTATGAGTCGGATCCGACTCGATGACAGTGACAGTGAGTTTCTGATTTTAGAATGGCACTCAGTTCTGTGTTCCCTTAGGAAACCTGGCCACTGCTTTATGTCTTTTTTTTTTTTCTCCTTGGTTTATGATTATTGACTTCACAAAGTGGGCCTGTCACCTTCCAGCTGTGTCTGTGGCCACATGTTCCTAGATGTGTATAGAGTTGAGGTCTTTTGTAGATTTATATCTGAGAATTGAGAGAGAAGTTACTTTCAAATGTAATAAAGACTTGTTGATTAGTAGGCCTTTATTTCTTGCCAAATGTCAGTGTATTTGTTTCTGCTTCTAAGGATTCTTAACATATTGGTTCCAAAATATTTAGGATCTTGTGCCAAGTGTTGTCTTAAATATTTAGCATATTGTTTTCTTTAAGCTTGAGTGTTTCTAGCCCAGCTGAATGATCTTGTGAAATTGTGCAGCATCAGAATTGTTTCAGAACTGAGCCCTTTATTCTTTGCCAAATTTCAGTTTACAGCTGCTCGTTCCCTGGCAAGATTTATTCACTGTCGATAAATGTCTGAAATGCAAATACTCATTCAGTCTTAATAATAAGGACACAAATCATGACACTATATTTGGAAAATGAGTCAGGAAACATTTTTAGGTGATTATTTTAATATCTTTTCTACTACAAATGAAATTTCAAAATATGTTAACATTTAGGATGATGTAAGTAGGGAGAAAAGAAGTTATAAAAGTTCCAAATAAATTTTCTAAGGTTATAATAATTAAAATTTATATTATATTCCTAAACTTAGGTCTTAGCTTCAGTGTGAAGATAAATGTTTTTGAAGCATGAGTTCAAAATATTTTTATCACCATTCATGTTATGTTCATGTATATCATTATAAAAAGTAACTTTGAGATTTTTACTTACAAATGTTAAGTATAAAATTAATCAGTATTTTTGTGATTATTTTTTCCCTCAAGCACATATTTTTGAGACCTTTATAGGTTGCCTTCTTTTTTAAGTGAGCAGTAGAATAATATTATTATGTTCTTAGGCTGGTAGCATAGTGCCTAAGGCATTTGACTGCTAACCAGAAGGCTGGTGGTTCAAACCCACCAGCCACTCCTCGGAAGGAAGATGGGGCAATCTACTTCTGTAGTAATACTGCCTTGGAAACCCAAGGAGGGGGTCACTATGAGTCGAGTCTGACTCGATGGCATACAACAACAACAACAACAACAACAACTAGACTGTTTGTTAAGTTTTCTTATCTATAAAATAGAGATAATAACAGTACCTGCCTTGTGGGGTTGTAGTGAAGATTAAATGAATTAATAATTGTAAATCACTAATAATGAATTCATGGAACATAGTAAGTGCTATGTTCTTTAATATATAAAAATGTCATCCTTTGGGAATGATTTTTTTTTAAATACTGTCTAAATCTTTTATTAGCTGATACAGTATTTCCATTACTATTCCGTTCCCTCATTTCCTTAATTGAGAGATGCTAATTACTCTCCATTCTAAGCTTTGCATTAAAAATTTGTAAAAACTTATTTTACTTCTCAAAGGCATTTTTAATTACTGATTTTACAAGTCTGCCTAGAGATAGAGGCACTACATGATGTTACTGGATGCTACATTTCAACTGAAAATAATCCTCCCACCTTCCCACGAGGAGTACTTATATCATCATCCCCTGACAAGTTTTTTTCCTTTCCATAGTCCTGACGTTTCTAATACTCCTCAGACAACAATGCCCAAGAAAGCTTACTGAGTGCCTTCTGGCACTTCCTGGGAAGTATTTGGTTAATTTTAAGGTGGTGATGTGTGCTTCACTATACTGTGCCAGCCAGCTGGCACCACAGGCTGAGCAGAGCCTTTCAAGGAAATTAGCCACACAGGACTGGGCTGCTGGAGACTCCCTGGCTGCCCTGAGGAGATCCTTCCCGTTCACAGAGAGAGGGGTTGGGTGCAGGAATTGTTGGGATAAGAAAGTTGATGCTCTCAGTCATACTTACGGTATCTTTACTGAGCTTTGAGAAGAATCTGAAGGTCAGAAAAAGGAAAAACGTATCTTATGGTCTGGTGGCCCTCATTTTCATTTTGTGAATACCATTCTATTGGCATAGCTCAGCCCACTTTAGACAGCTGCCAGTTCTAAGATGTTAAAACACTGTAGAGGTTTTCATTGATCTAAGCTGGAATTACCAATCCCTATTTATACGTTCAGTTTGTATTTTGTGTTTATGGTTTTCAATTCTGTATTATTACATAATTTCACCTAGGAATTTTAAAAAGACATAAGTGGTTTCTTAATGGGTAAGTTAAGCAATTTCACAGAAAAGAACAGAAAATAAACTTGTATAGTCATTCATAAATTTACTACAGTGATCACACATAGACATTGAAGATTATCACTATATATTTTACTTTTAGCTTAAATTTGTTTTCGTTTACAAGAGTATTTACTGTAATGTTCTCCTTGTGATGTATAATCTCTCAGGTTGAATAATATGCTGCTAGGGTTTAGGAGCTCTGGTAGCATAGTGCCTAAGGTACTTGACTGCTAACCAGAAGGCTGGCGGTTCAAACCCACCAGCCACTCCTCAGAAGGAAGGTTGGGCAATCCTACTTCTGTAGTGATACTGCCTTGGAAACCCAAGGAGGGGTCGCTATGAGTCGGGACCAACTCGACAGCATATAACAACAACAACAACAGGGTTTAGTTACCTTTTTCATGAAATGGTCACCAACATCCCTTTTTTCCTAACCAATATTTGCTTAGATCTCTTTTGTTTATTAATGGAGTATGAATCTTTATGGGCAGACATGGTAACTTCCTGTATCTCTGATGAGTCAGAATCTAATGATCTGATGAATTCTGTGATAGATGAGTACATGTCCGTGAGTACATACTGAGTATGCCCTAATCACCTTCAGGTAATACAAAGCTGGAGATGGAATCAGAGATCTAGAGAGTGCATCACCGAGAGGGGCACACATGTACACACACACACACACACACACATGCACACACAAGCCCACACACCTAACTAGAGACGCATCCAGAGAAGGTTTTGCACCCAAAGATATATATATATATATTGATGGGATATGGACCATAGACATGGACCAATATGCAGACACAGCTGGGCAGGCACACAAATTCATAAAGACATGTATTAGTAGAAGAGAGAGAAAGACAGACAGACAGACACAGACCAAGACCCTGCAGGGTGGAGAGATGGAGGGAATCAGAGAAAAGGATAGCAAAAGACTGGTGAAAGAGCAGAAATAGGAAGATCACATTCCACTGTGGAGAGAGTGCTGGGGAGTCAGCAATCCCACGGGCGGTATTGAAACGGTGAAGGAACATGGGTGCACCCAGGTCTGCTGAAAGGAAGGATGTTTACTTGACTTCTCTCCTTTGCAGTATTCAAGAAATGCTGACAGGCCAGAGGCTCTGCCACTCCGAATCTCACAACGATAGTGTCCTGGCAGCACTGAATCAGCAGAGAAGTGATGGTATTCTTTGCGACGTTACCCTGATTGCTGAGGAACAGAAATTCCATGCTCACAAGGCAGTCCTAGCAGCATGCAGTGACTATTTCAGGGTAAGTCAAGGTAGTTTGTTTCTCTTAAGTTAACAATGAACAAAGAATAGCAAAGCTTTCTGAACTGTCTCTCTTGGCCGGCAGCCAACAAGATGGTAGTCCCCAGAATTGTAAATGCGAGGGGCCTGTGTTCTCTCCTAGGTGGAATGAGATTTGGGGCCCTGTTGGGCTCCTCCCTGAGCTGCACACTTTTATGACCCTCAGTGGAGGGCAAACCTCTCTTTTGTGTGTGAGTCAAGGGCCACTTGACACTATAAGAAATGCCACCATAAGATAGATGGGTGGACAGGCTGAACTGTTAGGTATGTCTATGAAATGGGGAGTGTATCCAAGAATATGCATAGGGTTGGCAGACAATGGTCCTATAAGTTTATGTGAATGATCAGAATTCCCAGGTGTAGAGTAGAGCTGACAAGGGGCAAGGTTGTGGTCACTGCTTGGTAACAGCCAGCTACCAAGAGGGACCAAGCAGTTGAACCTGTGGGCTTGGGACCATAGTCGCCAAGGATATCAAGCTCAACTGGTATAACATACTATAGAAAACATTGTTCTACCTCCTACTTTGGTGAGTAGCAAAGCTAGCAAGCTGCCATATAGATGCAACGATGGGTCTCTCTTCATCCAGACCAAAGAAGAATGAAGAAAACCAAAATTCATGGAAACAATTAGTCCTAGCAACTGGTACACCATCCAATCTGCAGCCTATATCACTATGAGACCAGAAGAACTAGATGGTGCCTGGGTACCACTGTCATCCACTTAAAGGGGATCTATGTAGGAGATCCTTGATAGAGAGGGAGAACAATGTGGAATAAAACTCAAAATCATTTGGAGGAAAAAAAAAAGGTGGGGATCAGGTTTGCTGGTCCAATAGAGCCTGGTGGAACCACTGAGACTATGGCCCCTAGCTGCCCTTCAGGTCTGGAATTGAATCCACACCCATGATTTCCAGCCAAACAAAAGACAGGCATATGAGTTGAACATTTACCTCAGATAGATACACTCCTTGGAGACAACAATCATGGGAGAAATAAGGGCTGCTTATGCACAGGGAGACAGCTCAGGGGGCAGGAGTGCATAGAGGGATGGACACAGGGAAGAGGTAACTATGGGGAGGAAGTAGGAGGGGAGATGTTGCATTGTGGTAAACTGCGGTCATTGTCATGAGACAAAGTGCATGTGAACTGCTGTATGGAAAGTGAATCTGCTCTGTAAATATTCACCCAAATCACAATAAAAAAAAAAAAAAGAAAGAAAAGAAATGCCACCATAAGAAAATGTGGCATTATAGTACTCCATAACAGGGTGGGAGTTGTGGCTGGATGTTTCCGGATATGGAAGAAACAATCTATAAAACAACTTTTTAAAACATAAAAATCCATTGGCATTGAGTCAGTTCTGACTCATGACGTCCCCATGTGTTACAAAGTAGAACTGCTCTATAGGGTTTTCTTGGCTGTAATCATTACAGAACCAAATCAGCAGTGGATAAGTTTCTTCTGCAGTGGTGCTGGATGGGTTCCAACTGCCAGCCTGTAGCGTTTCCCTAAATATGTGTAGTATTTCTGACTTAATTGTCTGTGCATGTTCTTCACTTAATGCTTTTTATTTGCTCCAGTCGTGGACATAGTTGGCAGTATGGACCTTTATATTTGACACATGAATGTCTTTGTGACTGAAGAAGACATAATGTTGTCTTGTTCAGTAGAACTTTGGAGTTTGGTTTCCAATGCTAATGTTATAACATAATGCAACACACTGCCGTAGAGTCGGATCTGACTCATAGCAACCTCTCCTTGGGTTTCCGCGGCAGTATCAGTACGGAAATACATTGCCCAACCTTCCTTCCAAGCAGTGACTGGTGGGTTTCAACCAGCCTTCTGGTTAGCAGTCAAATGTCTTAGGCACTTTATGGGATCATATAATTTTATGTCATCCTTTGAAGATGAACGTTATGGCTATAGTTAATTAATGTCGTTTACTTGGCATTTACTGTGATTCAGGTGGTAGACAAGGACTTTCTATGTATATCTCCTTTAATCCTCACAGCAACAGATACATGGACACACTATTAAAATCACCATTTTATAAATAAGGAAATTGAATGCTAAAATTTAAATAGTTTTCCCAAAGTCACAAAGTTTATAAGGGGCAGATCTAGAATTGAATTCCAAGTCTCTCTTAACTAGAATGCTAGGCTTCCTCTTATAAAAATATGAGGAAAATGAACCTTGACAGTTATTAGCCAGAATTTTTTTAAATATTAATTCCTGAATATATCTATCTATCTATCTAGATATAAATTCTTAGTTAATTTCTTTCTCAATGTTATTTTAATTAACTAACAAACACACTGCCATTGAGTCACATCTGACTCATAGCAACCCCACCTTGGGTTTCCAAGGTGGTATCACTATGGAAGTAGATTGCCCAACCTTCCTTCTGAGGAGTGGCTGGTGGGTTTGAACTGCTGGCCTTCTGGTTACTAGTCAAATGCCTTAGGTACTATGCCACCAGAGCTCCTAACTAAAGATTAGGTAGTAACTATAAAAGATAATTATAAAATAGCTAAATAAATTTGAAATGTAAATTTAATTGTGGATTTTTTGAAAAAAGTTCTCTTCCCCAAAGCCTCAAAATTATGCTGAAACCAAAAAGGGTCTTGGGCAATGTATTGGTTTGATATGGATGTTTCCTGCATTTACAGATAATTTTCAAAGATGCCAACTCATAAAAGAAAGCCTTTTTAAAAAAGTCCTTTCAAATATGATGAAACCTAGTAATGTGGAAAATAAAAAGGCAATTGCTTGAAATGTCTGTTCCTAAAATAAAAATTAGGGATTTAACTCTAAACTGCTAAAATGAAAGCAGAATATCCGTAAAGTGACTTTTCAGTTCCATTAATATAATGATACATTTTATAAACCTTCACGTTGTCAGGTATTAATCTTCCAGAAAGTTTACCTTATTCACAGGGTTTTTGAAACAACAAAATACTTTGGGCTGTGTGTACATTATGTAAGCTTTGTCTTCCTGTCAACCATAATATAGACTACGTGGTGGCTCTCAGCTTCTCTCTTCTTAGTCTCTACCTGTTGGGTTTTGCATTTCCTTTTTAGAAATGGTTTGTTTTGTGCAAGTTTATATGTGAGTGTGTTTATGTGAGAGGAAAAGAGTGCAAGTAAGTGGCATATTTCACTTGTTCACATTTAGCAGTGTTAGTGCTATTTTTGTTTTGCTGTTTTCTGGTTGCTTTGAGTCAATTCTGACACATGATGACCCCATATATGTAAAGTAGAACTGCTCCATTGGGAGGGTTTTTTTTTATTTCTTTGTTTTTTTAATCTCTGTGAAAATAATGGCCTCATATTTTAGTAGGTTATGCACAGAGAGTATCTATGTTATAAAGCCTATGAAATAAATTTTATTATTCTCATTTTGGAAATGAGAAAACTAAGTGCAGTATGTTTAAATTGCATAATATCTGCCACATATTACTTAGAAGAGCTGTTTTCACACATTTGTCTCCCAGAGTACCAATTTGTGCTTTTCCCAGTTAAGCCATGTAGCTGGATTCGTACAAAGTTTCTTCAGTTTCACAACTTGCTTATGAAGTGAAAACTAAATGACCTGTGTACTAATTCTTAAGATGGAGAAACCAAAACAAAATTGGAACAGTTGGCACTTAACTCTTCTCTAGGCACTGTGCTAAGTGCTGGAGTTTCAATATTTAACCAGCCATAGACTGAGCCCTCTAGAAGCTTATCATGTAGATATTATACTGGAAGTAATTTTTGCCTTGTACCTTGTATCCTTGATCAGTTTTTGCTGTATGAAATACCACCCTAAGACATAGAGGCTGGATAGTTCTTCTCATCTAGTAAGCTCAGTTGATCTGTGTTGGATTCAGTCTTATATCAGCAGTTAACTAAAGAGTTGACTGGAGCTGGATGGCTTAAATTGTCCTTGTTCATATGTCTGTTGGCTAGAGTGATAGTGGAAACTGAACCATTTGTTTCTTCTCATCATCCAACAGGCTGGTCTGGGCTTCTTCACATACAACTAGATTCTAAGACCAGCAAGATGTCAACTGTTAATTCACAGTGCTTTCAAACCTCTACTTGAGTAACATTTACTAATGTTTCACTGGCCCAGCAAGGCAGATGTCCAAGCCTAGAGTCAATGTGGTAGGATAGTACCAAAGGGAATGCATACAGGAAGGGCAAGAATTTGTGTCCAGTTTCACAACTTACCACTGTCAAGTACTGTCAAAGATCTGAAATTTTATGCTTCATCCAGTCTAAAAATTAGCCTGCCATAGTTTTGTGGATGCTGGTAGAAGACATGAGATTCCTGGGTCAGACACAAAGGACAGTTTATTACTAACAGCATGAGTAGCAGAACCTCAGCATTTTTGCACCTGCTCCTTGAGCTTGTTCTACAAAGTAACATGAAGAGGGCCAGATGTCACCTGTATATGGTAGGTTACATTATAGCAAAGGGACACTGAGCTTAGGAAAATGGAATCTATTACAATGGACAGTAAACATGCCTGCCTATTACTCTTGAGGAAGACATTATTTCTATTATATTGGACAGTAAGCATGCCTATCCTTGCTATGGAAGGAAAAGCAATGTCTTTCAGGATTATAAGCAAGTCAGTCCTTTCCTCCTGAGGGCAACACTAGCTCTGACTTCCAAGGTTATTGTCTATAGAAGCATCTTAAAAAAAAAAAAAAAGAGTCCAGAACAAAGAGCAATCAGTACCTCACTCACAATACGTGCAGAAATACAAGAGACCCAGGGAAAACTGTCTCCCAACAATCACATGCCCTCAACTAGAAATATATATATACACACACACGTATACACATACACACATACACACACATATCTTGTTTCTTATTTTTCATCAGTCTGAAAACAGGATTCTGTCTTAGTAATTCCTCTTTCTCTCACAACACATAATGTTGCCTTGTACTCAGTAAGCTGAATAAAAA